AGAGCCTATGTCTGCGAAGGCGCCAACCTTGCGGCCACCTACATCTACTTCTACCACGAAATGTTCACCCTTTGGACCTCTATTGATCATCGCCCAAGAGTCCATGGGGTCCTTCCCTGACCACTCAGTTTCTAACTCTTCTAGGGCCTCAGACACATCTCTCGAATAGAGCGTCAGTGGGTCTGAATGTGTCTGCGGGGCGATGTGCGGGTCACTAGCCTTGGCCAACGCCTGAAGTGGGGAAGGCAACGTTACCACTTCAGCATGAGTAAGAGCGGCTAACACTCCTACTGGCCCGAGGTGTTTCCCTGTGAGCTGCTCGCAGAAGCACTCCCAGGGTTCGAAGATAAACCCACCACCGTTGGTGAGGCTACCTTCGTGGTGACCTTCTTGCCGCGGCGAGTCCTGGACGTGTGGCCATAGTTGCCACAGTTCATGCATGTGCCCCTGGCAACTCGGTCCCTCCACACCTCGTTATCCAAACCAAGCTTCACTCATACGGGTGTCCCTTGGTCTCCCTGACCCGTGGACCGTCCTACCTTCTTCTTCCTGGTCCCCCTAGCCTTCTCTTTGATGGGGGCCACGACTCCACCATCTGAAATCTCGCTGGGCCCATCCTGCTCTGTCAACTCCCCAAGGTCTGGGAATTCGTCAATCTCCGTCGTTTGACCATCATGGTCAACGAACATTAATTGACCCTTCTTCTTCCAGTCTTGGGGCAGTCTCTTCCTACCATCATGAGATACCTTATGAGCAGACCCCAACTTTGCCTCGATGTCCACAACTTTCTTACTAAAAGAAGCGAAGGTGTGTTGTTCGACATAGGCCTCTTCAACCAGCTTGGTCCTTACCTCTGCAGGTAGGCACCTTAGGTAATCCGTCAGGAGAACCTGCTGGTCACGAGAAGGCGTTCTACGGTGTCCGTAAGCTCTCTAACATCCTTGAACCTGCGGGAACAAAGGTTGTTGATAGCATCGGTGGCCTTTTGAGCCCCTTCCGGGTCATGCCACTTGTTGTAGACAGACCGTACGAACTGTTCCAATGTCTGAGCCTGAGCCCAGGCATTGAAATCCTGACCGTAGCCCTGCTGCTGCACTAAGCCATTCAACCAGCGAGCTGCTGATCCCTCTAAAAAGGAGGCAGCCACTACAACTTCCTGCTCTGGCCTTGTGAGCTTGTGCCTCACATAAGTAGGCACAGTCCTCACCCAGGTGTCCAAGTCTTCCTCCTCCTTCCTATCTCCAGAGAAAGGCTTGGGACTCATCAGAGGTATCTTGGGCATCCACTGCATAGGCTGCATGGGCCCAGGGGCTTGCTGCAGCGGCTGCATAGCCACTGAAACAGGCTGNATCCACTGCATAGGCTGCATGGGCCCAGGGGCTTGCTGCAGCGGCTGCATAGCCACTGAAACAGGCTGTTGCACACTAACGTGGGCCTGGCTTGACAGTGGGACTGTAGTTACCACTGTCGTGGATGGTACGGCTGAGACTCTTTGAACCGGACCACTAGTTGCTGCTAAACCACCTGGAGGGGGCATGCCAAACATTGGAGAAAAGGTTTGTCCCGTGGGTCGCGGCATCGTTGAAGGACCCGCGCCTACAGGGGGAACTACAACAAACTGTTGCTGCCTCATGACTGGACGAGGAGCCTGGAGTGCATCCAGAATTTGTTTCTAGCCTGCCACTAGATCAGTCAACAGTTCCCGTTGAACGGCCTGCGCTTCTGCTATAGATAGGACAGCATTACGCAGCACGCGTCCAGCGGACTCTAATGTCGACTCATCTAAGTCCTCTAGTCTGGCTAATGCCTCTGCCCTATTCTCTAATCTGGCCTTCCTCATGATTGCTTTTCTTCTCCTCTCTGATGCTTCGTCCAACTGCCACCGTAACTCATTCTGAAGTTCTTCCGCTTTCTGGATTTCTATGTCCTCAGGTGTGAGTAGAGCCGGTTGGCTGACTTGCAAGCCAACAGATTGACTAACTGTACCCGATCCACCTTGTCCAGCCCCTGACGAAGAAGACTGGGAGGTGGACTGCGATGTCGAAGAGGCGGAAGCCATTGCAGCCGCTAAGCTGGCTGCTGCGTCCCTATTTCTCCTCGCCGTTGCTCTCTCCCTAGCTTCCCTTCGTAGTCTCCTCTCCTCTCCTGGACCTAACTCCAAGAAAGTCAAAGGTTGGCTAAGAGTGGTTCTCCGTGTGATCCTAATGGGTTGCACTAGCCTTTGCTCCTCCTCACCGCTGTCGTCACTCATGAGCTACGCTGTGTGTGATCTAAACTAGAACTCACACTGAATCCTACCTTAGTGTGACACACAACCGTCTGTGATATACAACTATTATCGGTCGGCGGGAACAGAAACAATTAGGTGATATAGTCACAACTAATGTCAGGTCCTACAGGATATATTACCCTGGAACATAGATTACCCTGGAACAGATTGCACTACAGCAAAGATCTACTCTCTCTGTAGCTGTCTGTCAGTTGTTAGCAAAGTCTGTCACAACTAGATAATCAAAAATAAAAATAACATCTCCTATTGGAGATGTATACTGGATGGCAGATTGATAGTTGATTGCCACTGTGAACGGTTACCGGAATCCCCCCTCCCCCTGTATCCTTCTTGATTGGTCACTTTATGTCAACGTTCCTGAGCATCTGGTTGAGCAGCGCGTCTGAAGGTGTGCAATCCGGCCCACCCCTGTGCCCCAAGTCATTGCCGAACAAGCCAGCCAGTCCACTCTAATTTACCCTCGTACGGAACGAGCCTTACACCCGATTGATCTGGCTGATTAGGAGGAATTTTAGGAGAGCCCCCATCTCCTCAGGAATTATTTTACGTCGCAGTCAGAACGACGATCACAGCCAGATTCAATCGGAGTCCCCAACCAGAAATATTTATAGACGGTCTGGTAAGCGTCTCATAAAAGGCTGGCATGCCCAGCACGACCTCTATTGCGCAAGCAGCAGAACCAAGGACTTGCAGCCCAAGCATGCGTGTACTAGTCCCAACGGGTTGGCATGGTGACCGTGACCCGAGTGCTTCGTCCAGGGCCCTTCAGAGGCTTCGCCCGTCTCCCACCAGCTTGCTGCCCAGGAAGAATGTCGACTCTCAAGGTTGAGCGCTCGCGACACCTCACATCGAGAGGACTCTCAAGACAGAACTCACTTCCTCACAGTAAGAAGAGATGAAGAGGGTAGATAAGGAAGAGAGCAACGTACCTCATAAATGCTGCCCCCAACCACAGGTTTCTCACCGGTAACCTGATGTGCAATTATGATGACCGGTCTTTGCTTCAGCACAACCAACAGCAGAATGCGGTTCCACCTCAGCTTAATATTTCACATCAGCGAGTTCTCACCATCCAGCATACACCCCGTATGTCACCACATAGCTCCCTGGCGCGCCCACTCTACCCTGGGCCGCCTGATGTTCAACGCCAATGCCTTATCACTGCCCCACACCGCATGCGAAGCACCAATAGCTATTGCGAAGAACCAATGAAGCGCAATATGAACCATCTCTGATACCAAATTGCAAGAAAAATAAGTAACAGCGAGATGACAATTCCAGATCACACCATCACATTGAAAGCCAAATAGTCACACTGTGTCCAGAGAGCAGCATTTCACCAATCGTACACCAATGGAGGTTCGTAGCACTGAAAACCAATGTTCATGGAGAGCATACTTTCTCCTCCCAACACAAGACTCCAGTTCTTTCACACTCACACTTGGCGCTCAGCGCCCAGCCTACTCCTACACAGCTACTACAGACTACAAAAAGACAATGCAACTGTTGACATCAGCGGCAGCCCAAAGTACTTGAAGATGTCGCCCATGCAGACCATCGCCAATACAAGGTACGTGCCCTCACATCATCATCATCATCATCATCCTTCACCTATCCCCTGACTACACCACACCTGTCCTCTCTTTGACCCGAAGACCACCCCTGCGCTTCACTGTAGTCCAAGCCCACCAGCTATGGTGGCTGGGCTATGGCGCTGCCCTCAGCAGCGCCCTCCTCCTCGACACGACCGCATGTGCTGCACCTCGCCTCTCAGCGCTAGCAGCAGCCTACGAGCATGAGCTCCAGCAGTGCTGCCGCCAGCATGCGAGTGCCTGAATGAGGCTGCCTGGCCAGAGCTCTTTCCTTTATGGAAAAGAGCTGGCCAGCTCTCGCAGCCTGGCTGGGCTGGCCTGGGCCCAG